TTTGGGGGGGGGGGCGGTAATGAAAGTGCGTACGGTGGTGCTCCAGGCGATGACGGTGTTGTTGCGGGTGTTGATGAAGATGGCCTGGGGCTCCAGCTGTACCGACCGCGCCTGCACGGGCTTGGACTGCGAGTCCAGCTCTCCCGTCTGCGTGCGGCACACACACATCCAACAACAACAACCGTCGGCGACGACCGTTAGATTGGTGGAGGGGGGGGGCAAACAGAGGGGAGGCGAGGACGTACGTCGAGGTCGTAGACGCGTACGCAGCCGTCGGCCTCGCAGGTGTAGAGCTTTTCGTCGGGGGTGACCATCATGAACTCGATGGACTGGCCCTGGTTCATGAACACACTGCCCTGGACGGCCTGCCGCACCGGGCTGTCCTCCCCCTCTTCCTCCGAACTCGACCCCTTCTTCTTGGAGCGCTTCATTTCAGGCTTCTCTTTATGGCTTCGTCGAGTCTCTCTCTCTCTCTCCCTACCTCCTCTTGGTTCCTCCTCTTGGTTCACTTCACTCTCCCGCCCTTTTCTTCTCAGCAGCAGCAGCGGCGGCGGCGGCAGATGGTGAGAGAAGAGGAGTGCGCAAAACGGGGTCGCCCAGCAGATGACCGCCACGTTGTCCGGGGCGACGCGCGTGCTGTTGACCGAAAGGGCAGCGCACCGCCTTTTTTTAGGGCACCTACCAGATCGGGACACTCGCGGTCTCGTGAGGCGACGCTGCTGCTGCTGAGGCGGAAGTGGAGGGAGAGGGGCGTGCATTCAAAACGTTCGTAGCAGGTGATGGTGGTGGCGGTGGTGGTGGGTAGGCGAACTAGTAGTGGTGAACTCAGGTCTTTTGAACCGGGAGGGTCGCAGGTCATACAATGGAGGGGAGCTCCGTTCCGCCGATGGCTTGAGCGGAAGAGAACAGTTGCACGAGGCACGATCAGTCCATGTCGGCGGGCTTGAGGGAGACCTTGTTGCCAGAGTTGCCGGAGGCACCCCCGAACCAGGAGTCGGCCGTGTAGGCAGGTTGCCCGTCCCACGTGTCGGGGAACTAGACACACACGACACACAGGACACACACAGGACCGCAACCACACATCGATTAGCACCACCGCACGACACGATAGTGGGGGGGGAGGGCGGCATCTGAAGCGGTCTGTGAGTGGGAAAAGTGCGCACCAGGTCGTCCTGGAAGAAGTCCTTGTTGAGGCGGGGCACCATGAAGGAGATGGGGATCACCTCCCTGCCCGACAGCTTGTAGAACCTCGCTGGACTCACGCACACACGCACCATGCCATAGCCAGACTGAGCGCGCAGGCCCTGAAGGACGTTGGGGCGGGGGGGGGCTCTGCAGAGAAGGACTCGTACCAATCTCGCACTCCTTGACGTTGAGGCCGTGCTTGGGCACGCACGTGATGCCGGCCGCCGGCTTGTTCGACTGTTTGGTGGTGGGTGGTGGTGAGGGGATAGCGCACAGTCAGGCGAGACTCGTTTTTCACCGAAGCGGAGGGGCCACCCACGTGTGGATTAGAGGGAGGGGGGGGGGGAATAGATGGAATGTAGGTGGGTACGTGCCTTGTACTCGACGAGCGGGTTGAGGAAGGGCGCCGAGTCGGTGAGCTCGAAGGTGCGCATGAGGCCGTCGCCCTTGCCCGAGAGGAACAGCACGCCCGTGTCGGCGTCGTACACCGGCAGCAGCATCCTGTCGCACACAACCGCCGCCGCCACCACCGCAAGCGCGATGAGCCCAACCATGGCCCTCATGCCCGTCGACACCGCCGCGGAGACGAGATGGGGGTACGTACGCGGGAGAGACGTCGAGCTTCTGGGTGACGAGCGGCTGGGCAAAGTTACGGGGATCCCACACGCGGATCTGCACCACCAGCCACCAGCCACCAGCCACCATGAGGAGGAGGAGGAGGAGGATGTGCGTGGTAATACCCCCCCTTCCCGGTCACTGTGTCGCAGGGGGGAGGGAGGATGGGTGGTGCGACGTACCTCCCTCTCGCTCTGGCGGGTGAAGCCGGTGGTGAGGATCTGGCCGAGGGGACCCAGCCACTGGACACGCCCGCCCTTGGTTCCCTCGTGGGCCGCCACCTCCTGCCAGCAGCAGCCAGCAGCAGCAGCAGCAGCAGGTGCATGGTGAGCGAGTATTTCGCGCGCGCGCACACACTCAGTACGTCAGGGAGAGAAGAAGGTCGCGGTCGCGGTCGCGGTCGGGGTGGTGGGATGCGTACCGACACGACGGCCTTGCCGCGGGGGTCGAAGATGCGCAGCTTCTTGTCTGCATGCACGCACGTGGGTGGGTGGGTGGGTGGGTGGTTGACGAAGATGAGCACACACCACTCGTAGCGTGCGGGTGGTGGTGGTGGTGGTGGTGGGTGAGGTGCGGTGGGGGCGCATGTGCGTACCCTTGCAGAAGGTGGCGAGCTGGGAGCCGTCGGGGTTCCAGGTCAGGGACGTGATCTGGTCCCGGTGATCGGTCAGCACCACGCGCTCGCCCGCCGACTCGACGTCCCTGCCCCAATGGTGGTGAGAAACTTGTGGGAGATCATAACGGAAGGATTGGAGGAGTGTGGCGGGTGGTGGCTGGCGGGTGGTGGCTGGCGGGTGGTGAGTTGTGAACGAACCACAGGCGGACGGTCTTGTCGGCACCGACGGTCACGAGCACGCCCTCGGCCAGCGGGTGGAAGTCGATCAACCTGCACCCGCGTGGTGGACGCACGGTGAGACGAAGGAAGAGTCGCGTCATCGACTGAAAGCGGGGGCAAGGGTGGTGGTCGTGGTGGTGGTGGTGGTGGCCGGAGTACATACACGAGGCGAGTGGCGTGTCCGCCGGCAAAGGTCTGCACGGGGGTGGTGATGTCCGCCGTGAGGCCTCCCTCGGGGAAGCGCCACAGGTGGGCTGCATTCACCCATTCCACCGCCGCGACACGACACGACCAACGACCAACGACACGGCACGCAGGTGAGTGAGCGTAGAGTATTGGAGGGCGAGCCGAGTCGTGGAGGAAGGAGGCGGGAGCGGGGTACCCTTGGCGTCCTGCGTGGCGGTGGCCACGAGGTGGTCGTCGAACGGGTGGAAGGCGAACGCGTTCACCGAGGCCTCGTCGTCCTATGCCATGCAATGCCAGCCACCAGCCACCACCAGCAAGCCGCAGCCGCCGCCGCCGCCGGGTAAGCACGAGGCCGGAAAGGCGCGCAAAGCTGGAGGAGGTGGAGGTGGAGAGTGCGTACCTGGACGATGAGGGGCAGGTTGTCGCGGTCGACGGCGCCGGGCGTGGCGAGGGGCACCACGCACAGAGTGCCAGGCGTGGCCCACGGTACCGCGAAGTAGCGGCCATTGGCTGCTCTCACCACCAGGCAACAACAAATAACAATTTTTAAAACCATAAATATCGTCAGTCGGCTGTTCCGTTCTACACGCCCCCCCCCCTCGCACGCGTTTGAAGCGGTGGTGCGAAGGAAAAGGAGAACGCGTTTTCTTATTTCTTGTGACAGATGGGGGGGAGGCCTCGTACCGCGAATAAGATCGGCGTCGGGAGCAGGCGAGCTGCACAGAAAAAAGGAGTACCACGAGGTCAGACGAACGAACGCCCCACCACGACCCTCGCGAGTGTCAACAGCTTTGGTGGGGGGCTTTACCCGACGTTGACGTTGTTGAAGCAGTTGCGCTGCTGCTCGTCCTTGCCGAAGAGGTGGCGGTACTTGCTCGCTACGCGCACGAGAACAGAGTTGAGTGCGGTGCGATACCAGAGCACGTGAGGCGGTTGGAGGGGGGGGGTATTGAATACCTCTGATCTTGGTGGTCATGGTGAGTGATGTGATTATGTTTGTTCGTGTGGCGTTGTTCAACTCTCGTTATTGCATGCCACGCATTCCGACGGCACAAAGGGAAAAGGCCAGGAAAAAGAGAAAACCGGCAGTAGCCGGCAAATCGATCTTACACACCGCAATGGGAGACGTACGTGGATTGGCGCTGTGTAGTGAAGGCTTGGCACTGTACTAACGTCTCTTCTGGGCAGCGCGGAGCACCTGGATCGGGAGGACCCAGTAAATGGGCTCTCCGAAAGGAGGCCAAGCGCCAGATGTACGCCCTCAGCACGGAGAAGGCGCCCACGATCCGCCCCCTGGGTGTCCGGTATCCCCACCTCCCCAATCTTTTCATTTGCGGGCGCAACGCGCACATCTTTTCACGGCAGAACCTCACTGCCGCTGGGTTATCTTCACGTGTTGATCGCAGAGGCAAGTCGCGCGCGCCGGCCAACTACCAGTGCCAGAAGTGCCTCAACTACGGGCACTACACCTACGAGTGTTCGGGCTCGGCTGTGTACATGAAGCGTCCGTCCCGCAGCGAGGTCATTCGCGACCCCTCGCTCCACCCTTCCTACACGCTCGACGTCCCGCCTCCCGAGCTGCCCGAGTACGTGTTTCCGCCCTCTTCGCGCCCGTGTGTGTCGTGTGTGTGTGCGTGCGCGCCATCCAGCCGTCTCACTACGTGGGGTATCGGTTTGTGTGCGATGGTGATGCGCAGCGCCACGAAGCAGATCCAAGCGGAGGTGGCCAAGTGGAAGGAGGCCAGAGACAAGAAGAAGAGAAAGGAGGAGAGGAAGCACAGGAAGAAGAGGAAGCGCGATGACAGGTACGCAGCGCCCGTTCTCTGCATTTCGTTCGACGCGTGTTTTTCCCCTTTGTTTTAACAAACATTCTTTTTCGGTGGCGTGTGCAGTTCCTCGTCCGACTCCTCGTCCGATTCATCGTCAGACTCCGACAGCAGCAGCGACAGCGACAGCTCGTCCGACTCGTCTGATTCTTCATCGGACTCAGACTCTTCCTCAGATTCGTCGTCCTCGCCCTCGGACTCAAGCGATAGGTACCAACGTCCTTACCTCTCCACGCCGGCTCCGTGTGCGTGTGCGGTGAGATGCGTGCGCGTGCGTGCGTGTACGTGGCACAGTGTATGTGTGGCGTCCCCTTACCAGACTTGGCTTGTGGCGGTGGTGGGCCGGAGCAGCGAGAGCGAGAGCAGCGGAGATGACCGGCGCGCGAAGAAAGCCAAGAGCAGGGATCATAAGAAGGACGTCGACAAGGATGACGGCGCCAAGGGCGACAGGCAATCCTCGCGAGGCCGCTCCCACCGCGACGACGACGAGCGCTCGCCCTCCCCCAAGCGCGCCCGCGAGGCCGAAAACGGGGAAGCCAAGAGAAGCCACCGCGCCAGCCGCGACCGGCGCTCGCGTTCCCGCACCCCTCCGCGTCGCGACGAGGGCTCCCCCGCGAGAGCTGATTCGAGGGAGCGGGAGCGCGGGCGGGACAGGGACGAGCACCACGACCGCGACCGCGGTGGAAGGGACCGAGGCAGGGAAGACACGAGGGACCGGGACAGGTCCGCCCACAGAGGCAGAGACGACCGGGACAGCGAGAGAGGCAGAGAAAGGAGGCGGAGCAGAGAGAGGGAAGACAGAGGCAGAGAGAGGGACAGAGAGTGGGGGAGGGACGACGACCGTCGCCACAGGCGCTGAAGGTAGGACGACCATGAACGGGTGCTCTACGAAAAGAAATGCAGGAGAAAATCGATTTTCTATCTTGGCCAAAAGATTGGCTGCCGTCTTTTGCATTGGTTTGTGGATTGTTTCGATCGACGGATGGGAGAGGCAGGCTTTGCTCGGGAGTGTGCGCGTGTGGGGGTGGCTGGCATCGCTCAGCAGGTGGGCTTTTCAGGGGTGCAGGCCACGGCCGCCGATACCCTCGCCAACATTCTACACAAATGTATGCCCTTACCCCCTCCCCAAAGATTCTCACTGCTCTGCAGAAGGGATGCAAACCATCAATGGTGCATACACAGACATCGAAGAGGTGGGGCACAGGGCGCACCTGTACGCCGAGTTGGCGGGGCGCATAGAGGCCAACTTCAACGACGTACGACTCACCTTTGACGAGCTGGGCCTCGACTTACGAGAGCTCTCGCACTACTCGGCCACCCTCGACGAAACGCCCTTCCCCAAAGGCACCCGCGCCCCTCTACACCCTCCTTCTTCCCTCGGTCTCTCTTGTGCTGACGTGTCGCGGTGTCGCGGCGGTGGTGGTGGTGGAGCAGCCATGCCAGAGTGGCCGGTGAAGAAAAAGAAAGGGCGGGCGGCACCTGGGCTGAAGGACCCCGAGGAACCGCTGCCGCCGCACATTCCCCCGTTCCTGCCGGCCTTCCCCAGCAAGCACGCCTACATCGCCAGCCCGGCCTACCAGGAGCGCCTCGAGGTATACTTTCTATGCGTGCCCTGTCTCGCCCGCTGATGGCCATGGCCGGGGGCAACGATGAATGAAGCTCACGGCTCACCTGCCACGCCCGTGACGTGCAGGACGCCACGGAGGTGCGGCGGCTACGCAGCAAACGCAGGAGGCAGGTCGAAGCTGCCGTCACGCGGTTGGCCGACCACATCGCGATCGCCCCCATCACCACCTACGACCACGCCGGTACCACAGCTACCCCCCCCCCTCCCCCCACAACTGCCTTTTCTTCCGTACCCCATGGGGAGGAGCAACTGCTGACATTCCATTGCTTCGCCCGGTGGTCCCGTCTGCCAGACAATCCGTTCCTGCAGCGACCAACGGTCTTGCCGTCGCAGCAGGCCGCCTTTGACTTTGGCGGTTCGTTCTCTCCTCCATCCCGGCCGGAAGACTTTAAACTAACGGGGGGGAGGGGGGCGACGTGGACAGGCGAGGAAGGGGAGGGAACCTTTGCCGCGCCGAGCCCACTCGAGCCCACCTCGCGCCACGTGGCGGCGTCCTACGCCACGTACGGCCGCTTCTCTCCTCTCCACGGACCACTGACACGGAAACCTGCGAGGCCTGACCGGTGTTGGCTGGTGGTGGCGGCTGGTGGTGGCTGGTGGGAATGTGCAGATTGAAGACGGAAGAGCTCAAGGAGGAGGAAAAAGAGAAGCGCGTGCTGCTGAGGAAGAAGATGAAGACCCAGAGCCACCTGGACGACACGCCCGACAAGGTACCACTCTCACCCGTGAAAGAAAGGGATACCCCCCCTCTGAAGATCCAAGACCTCTCGTGACACGTTGGTCCCTCCCTTGTGTTGCGGTACCACAACAGGCCAAGAAGAAGGCCAAGTGGGAGAAGATCCTGGCCCTCACCCACGACGCGCCCGTCGAGTCCCTCAACGACGCCGGTGCGCCCGACCGCGCCTTCTCCCCACGCGGCGAAAGGTCGCCCATGCCGCCAGGCCGCCACGCCCGCTTCGACGACGACTTCTCCCCGTGAGCGCGACCGGCCCAACAAAGAGCTGCCTCCTCATCGTGGAGCAGAGGAGTGGGGGCAATTACACATCATTCGCTTTTTTTTTCATGGCACAACCATGGCACCATTTGCATTCACAGGGTGTCCGAGCTGCGGGGGCCGCTCGCGGGGAAAGCACCGGACACAGGGCGCGGAGGAACGGCGGGCGGCGCACCGGCAAGAAGAGGGAACGGGTCTGGTGCCAGACACGCACGCACGCCATTCATTGCACGGGGTGAGGAGCGTTGGTTGGTTGGTTGGTTGTGAGCACCGGTGTAGCAAGGCAGGAGGCGCGTACCGCTGCTCGGCGCCGACTCGGGCTTGGAGGGGCGGGCGGGCACCGGCGGAGGACGCGACGGGGCCGGGGCCGGCGGTAGATCGGGGAGGGGCTTCTTCGCGGGCGGCGAAGAGGAAAGGGCGCGAGCGCTCCCGCCCTCCTTGTCGTCGTCGTTGTCATCGTCGTCGTGGTGGTGGAGTGCGACGGGCAGGGGCTGGGAGAACAGCTGCACGGGCGGCGCCTGCTGCAGCACCTGCAGGTGGGGAAAGGGCGACACGTGCGCCGTGGGCTGCTGCGGGAGAGGAGGCAGCGGCCCCGACGAGCGTGGTGAAGGTCCCGACGCCGCAGTGTCGCTGGTTGGTGGGGGCGCGGGCAAGGCCGCCGAGGGAGCCGCCGCGGAGGAAGAGGCTCCGGCGGAGGCGGCGGGGGGCGGAGGCAGCGGGTTGCTGGGGCGCGGGAGGGGCTTGTGCCTGTCGGCGGCCTTTCCGCCCATCACCTCGACGACGGGCATCGGGGCGGGCGCCGACGAGAGCTGGCGAGGTCGCGCGGGCAGGACGGGTGCGCTGGTGGACACCTCCCCGCCCTTCTTCAGCATCGGCTCCTTGCCCGAGGTCTTGTGGCCAGCGCCGCCCTGAGAACGTGTGCCAGGAGAGGCAGTGTTGGCGTCGAGACTCATCGAGCAGGGGGGGGGGCTCACGCACGCGCGCAGTGCGGCGGTGATTTGGCGTGTGGGGGGGGGTGTACTGGTGGTACGTACCGTTGCGGAGTCGCCGTTGCCGTGGGCGGCCGAGTCTGCGAGGGGCAGCAGCATGGTGGTGATCCTCTCCAGGGCCTTCCGATCGGGGTGGTCGGCACCCGTGCAGCCCAGCAGCTCCTGCGCGCAGATCGTGTGAGGCCAACACGACAAACACACGACACACACACACCACACACACGACACACACACACGACACACGACACACGACACACGACACACGACACACGACACACGACACACGACACACGACACACGACACGGACAAGCAATCAATGAATCGAGAGGGGGGGAGGGCGTGTTACCTTGAGGAGGGCGGCGTAGAGGAAGGAGCGGAGGGCGGGCTTGCGCAGGATTTCGCTGAGGTCGTCCTCGCCGCTGGCGTCGCGGTCGTTGAGGTAGGCCCCGAATCGGCGGTTGGACTGGCGCAGGCGGGCGATGGTGGCCACGTAGCTCTCCACCCGCGACGAGAACTCCATCTCTATCGCCACGAACTCCGTCTGCAACACAACACACAACACACAACACGGCACACAACACGGCACACGGCACGACACACACACACAACACGGCACACGGCACACAACACGTACGAGTGTCAGTGACGGACCTCCCAGAAGCGACTGGGGATTGGGGGAATTAGGGAGGGGATCGATACGAGCTGTAGGAAGACCTGGACGACGGTGCGCTCGAGGGGCGGAAGGCCGTCCCACTTCTCCAGCTTGGCCTCGAGGTCCTGCCACGATTGCGCGTGTCGTGTCGTGTCGTGTCGTGGTATTTTATAGCCACGGGGAGGTGAGTGAACTCAGCGCGCGGGGTTGAGGAGGAGAGAAGAGGCATATAATAGATAAATTAGATAACAGATAAATATGATATTCATATACCTTGACGATCTTGTGGTGGTAGTTGTAGATGACCATGACCCGCCCGAACATTTCGTGCAGCTCCGTGAGCTCCAGGAACATGTCCTCGCTGTAGAGCTTGATGAAGGGCTGCAGGCTGTCGATGAAGCTGCGCTCCGAATCCAGGATGCTCTGCACCACCGCCTTCCGCCGATCTGTACCCGCCCACCCAAACGACCCGTTACAGCCTTGTGTGACCGCCCCTTGGGCTGGTGTGTGTGTGTGTGTGTGTCGTCATGTGTGTCATACCCTCGACGACGGGCGGGGATCCAGGCGCAGTGGGCTCCTTCGCGTCGCTGCTGGCCGTCGCCTCCGGCACGGCTCCCGTGGTACGCTTCTTGGTCCTGGACGCCGATGCGATGCGCCGGTTAATCCATGGCCGGCGGCGGGGCCGATGAACTAGGAGGAGGAGGCGGTGTGGTGGTGGTGGTGGTGGTGGTGGTGGTGGTGGTGTGGGTACCGTGGGATGGTGATGTAGCGTCGGTTGGGCATGACGGTCTTCTCGATGAGGATGTTGGTGAGCTTGTTGAGGATGAGGTTGTTGAGCTTGGGGAAGTTGCGGATCTGGCGCTTGTCCCCGCCCACCACGCTCTCCAGTCGGATGTCCATCACCGGCACCGAGTAGAAGCTCACCGAGAACCGCTCCGCCGGCCACGGCGCGCAATGGATGTGCATCTACCGCCGGTACCACACATCGCACACACGCACGCCGCACACGCACGTCAATGACCACACGAGATTGTGACAAAGCGGGGTGTGTCGGAACGCACCTTACCGGTGAGGGAGTGGAGGGTGGCGGTGATGCAGAACGGGATGCAGGTCTTCTGGGTGACCCACACGTTGCCGGTGAACTTGACGAACGCGGGCCTGTCCTCGCCCCGGTAGTCCAGCACCAGGTCGATGCCCTGCACAACACACACACACAACAACAACACACAACACACACATTGTGGTGAATGTTCGTCCGCATACGCGACGAATGGGGTGTTGGGGTGGCGTTTGGGGGGGGGAGGGTCCTGTACCAATTCACCGGAGCGTCGCTGGGGCAGGATCTTGATGCCGGACATCTTGGGCACGAAGTCGCCCAGGCTCAGGTCCACCACATCAATCCGCTCCTGCGGGTGGTGTGCGTAAGTTACTTTGCGTTGGCTGCGCTGCTGCCAAGCGCGGAGAACGACAGTGAATCGAGCGAAAGAGTGTAAATTTGCGCACCAGGAAGCCGGCGAGCTTCTTTTCGGCGAGCTTGGCCTTCATCTTGGTCTCCAGGAACGTTTTGATGACCACCACCAGCTCCTCGGAATTCCTGAAAGGCGGACCCTTGTCAGCCCACCACACAGCGTAGCAAGAGGTGTCGCGCGCGTGAGTGTGTCGTGTGTGTGTGTGTGTGTGTGTACCTGAAGTTAAACCAGAAGCGCGAGGTGAGAGCATTAATCCATTCGGCACTCTCGATCTTCAGGAACTCGTTCGCCGTTTCCTCGGCCGTGCTCTCGCCCACCGCAGTAGAGCCCGCCGCAGATTGGCCTGCTGGCGGGGGGTCACTAAATGTGCCGCGTGTCGTGTGCGCACGTGCGTGCAGAGAGCACGAGGCTTGAAAGTAGGCGATCGCGTACCCGAGGCGTTGCCCTCCGACGCGGCGTTCGTCGCCGTCGTCCCAACCACAGGCTCGCTAGACCTGCGAGTCAGCAGCCACCACCCCAAATTTGTTTAAAACAATTTAAGACAAGACATAACAAATAACAAAACAACATGAAATAAAAAACGATAGAAAAGGGGGGTACGGGAGGCAGGCAGGTGGTACGTGGAGGGAATGGATGACGACGACAACGACGCAGCCGAGGCAGAGGACGAGGTCGGCCCCGATGACGAGGGCAGCGACGGCATCGAGCGCGGAGAGATGACAGGCGCCGCAGCGCTGCCCTCGAGGCTCCCCTGCACAATTGGTCAGGCGAGGGCATCGCACAGCACAGGAGGTGGAGCCAAAAGAGAGAGAAGAGGAAGAGTACCGAAGTGTAGCGGGCGCCAGCCGAAAGGGCGCTGTGCCAGAGCGTGGCGTACTCGGCAGTGTCGGCGATCACGTAGATGTGGTCCAGGCCCGCCGTCAGCTCGCTCGCCCTGTGTTCGTCCCACACACGTCAACATATGTATAATTATAATAATAATAATAATAATGAGAAAATCAAAGACAAGGGCAGGGTACCTGCGGGAGAGCTTGACGGCGTTCTTGGGCCGCTGGACGATCTCGGCAGTGCACCCGCGCAGGTCCACCTCCCACCTCTCATTGGCCGCGAAGATCTTCGCAAGAAAAATAGAAGAATAGAAAAATAGTGTTGCGGTTGGTTGATCACGAGCTCTCCGGAGCGGGCGGGCATTGGGGGGGGGGCTACCTTCTCGGTGTTGTAGGTGGCGAAGACCAGGGATTTGGCCGTGGCGAATCGCTTTTGCACCTGCTTGGGGTCGTCCTCCCGCTGGATGCGCACCCACCCGTGTGTGCCCTCCGTGGTCACCGTGGGCTGGCCACCACCACCACCAGACACGTGAGAAACCACCGGTGGGGCTCGGTCACACACACACACACACACACAGAGAGAGAGAGAGGCTTTACCTTGTAGCCGCGCAGTTCCTGGAAGGCGCTCTTCATGCGCTCCTTGCGCGACATAAGGCTCGTAGCCGCTTCCAGCGGTCCGCTCTGTGTGCGGGTTGCATCCGACACCAATCCCAGTTGGCGACCAATCAGCAAACCACGCACGACACACGACACACGACACACGACACACGGCATGCGCAGGCACAGGTACCCTGCTCTGAGGCTTTTCGGCAATGCTCTCGTACGGCTCGCAGATCTTGAGGAGCGAGTGGTACCTGCAATGCCGTGGGCGGATTACGACTCGCACCATCAGCCTGAGTGAAAAAAGAATCCAGAAACCTGCGGCTGCTGGGAACGCTGCGCACCATCTGAGCTGCACGGTCTCGGATTGGGTGATGAGGTAGATGTAGTCGGACTTGTCGGCCACCTTGCGGTTGGTGTGGCTGATCTCCACCGCGTACGTCAACTGATGACCATTATTACACCATGCATGCCACGCACCAAACACCACCGCCACCACGTGGTGAGCCAAGCCGAGCCAAGCGCAGACAACGACACCAGCAACCACGCGTGGGAGGGGGGCAAGGGGCACACCTTGTTCTTTTCATCGTCCATGGTGCGCACCAGGCACCCATCGAGTCCGATCACCTCGTACTCATCCAGGGCGTCTCCCTCCTGGCCACGATGTGCGGCACGCGGCGAGTCATGCGTGATGCGAGTGGAAAACAATAATAATATATAATAATATAATATTATTTTAATAAATAATAAAGGCAAATGGGTAAAGGAAAGGGAGGAGGTACGCGCGGGCCGTGGTAGAGGTCGGTGTCGCGCACGAAGGCGTAGCAGGCCTTGCGCGTCTTGCGCTTGCCCGCCATCTGGAGGCTGATCCACCCGGCCACCAGACAGCCGCCCATCCCGCCCACCTGCCCGCTACCGCCCTCCTCCTCTCCGTCCTCGTGTTCGCCCTGTCACCGCCCAAACAGAAGACACACACGCACACGCACACACATACGACACACGACACGACACACACGACACACACATGACACACGGGTCTTAGCTACGTAGAATGGAAGGTGAGAAAGCGATGAGGTGGGGGTTGCGTTTGGTACGTCGATGTCGGCGTGCGGGGTGGAAGGAGACGAGGGGTCGGCGGACGCGAGGGGCATGGTGGGCGGGCGAGTGCGTGGCGCGTTGACGCCGGGCGTGTACTGCGCGGCCTGTCGCATGAGCTCGGCGTGGTCGCCGTTGATCTGCGCGTCGAGAGGGGGCGGCTCGAATGGCACGTCGCCCCGCTCTACGGCTTCGCTATACTCCCTGCTCCGTTCCGCCGCTCTACACCGAGTGCACACGACCACGCCATAAAGCGAAAATAAATGATAAATGATAAATGTTTTGAATTAATAAATACACAATCAATGGTTAATGATTTGAATTGCAAAGAAAGATGAAAAGGATGTCGCTACGCCAAAAGCACAAGCCGGGCAACCCGGCAGCGTGGGGTGCGAGGGGGGGGGTACGCATGGCGAGACTGAAGCTGGGACTCTTCGACGCGGCTCAGAAGGTGTACGCCGACGTAGGCGGCAATAGCGAGGGACACAATAGCGCCCAGCAAAAAGGAGCCGGCCAGCAGCCACAGCAGCCCCAGCATCTCGTGTTGTGCTCTCGTTCTCTTGTGCTTTTGATTTTTGTCGACCAACACATTTTTCCTTGCTGAAAATACTCTAAAATCACCGCAAATAACTTCGTAGAAATTCTATCGTCTGCCCATTGTCAAGAACAGATCCAACAGATTCAGCAGCAGATGGACATTCAACGGTACTGTCTACTTCTCCAGTTTTTCAGCTCGAGCAGTATCTACAACAAGCCTTGGTGGTGGGGGCAATAGGTCATGGGCTAAGAACAAGGGCGTGGTGCAGTCTGGCCCGGCCAAACAGCTCCTGCTCTTGTCGCTGTTGCACAAGAATGGGCGCTTGTCTCGATCTCAGCTCACCACGCTCAAGGTGCGAGTAGTGCCTCGTGATATCACCACCCGCTACAAAAGAACAGCCAGAGAGATGATGCTGACCTCACCCCCCCCACACAAAGGATCTGGTGGTGGAGCGGAACGATAGCGTGGGGTACGTGGTGCAGGTGTTTGAGCTCATGGACGACGATTTCGACGAGCTCGAGGACAACCTCAAGCACCTGTGCAAATGTACGTCGTCGGCGTAGTAGTAGTGGCCACTACTCGAACGGACCCTCTAACGAACGACTCACGCGCGGTGCCACTGCAGACGAGGAGGAGAGGCGGGCAGAGGAGGGAACCGTGGCCAGACCATCGATGGCCGCTGCCCACCAGGGAGGAGGCGCCTTCTCGTTTGCCTCGTCGTCGCCGCCGCCGGCTGGCCAGTTCGCTCTGTCGGCAGAAGCAGGAGGCCTCACCGAACTTGGCTGGTTGCGACACCTGGGTCCCGAGTTCGCGAAGGTGCGCCGAGTCTTTCACACGACACACGACACACACGACACACACACACACACACAATCCGTGTTACGACAAACTCACTACATATGCGTGTGTGCGGTTGCCAGCCCTACTTCCGCAGCCTTCTGGCATCGGTCGCTGCCGAGCGGCAAGCGCACACGGTCTACCCTCCGGAGGAGAGCGTCTACAGCGCTTTCAATTACACTCCACTCGACCAGGTGCGTTCGTCGCTGTCCGGATCGGCTCCCACTCCGGCGCGTCGTGCTGACCACGCCACAACACACGACACACACGACACACACAGGTGAAGGTGGTGATCCTGGGTCAGGACCCGTACTTCAACGAGAACCAGGCCCACGGCCTCTCCTTCTCGGTGACCCGGGGCGTGGCGGTGCCGCCCTCCCTCAAGAAGATCTACGCCGAGCTCGAGCGCAGCATCCCCGGCTGGCGGCGCCCCAACCACGGCTGCCTCACCGAGTGGGCGCAGCGCGGCGTCCTGCTCCTCAACGCCACGTACACCCTCCTTTGCCGCACCTCATGATTCGTTCATGGAATTCGCCGCACGGCTGATTCATTCGACTCATGCTGGTGGTGATGCTGAACATGACCAGGTTGACCGTGCGGGCCGGCATTGCCAACTCGCACGCCAAGTTCGGATGGCAGACGTTCACGGACGAGGTCATCAAGTAAGTACCTGCCTTCTGTCCGCCATCTCGTGCTGTTCTTTCTTCTTCTTCTCGTTTTTGGCTTTGCGCTGATCCGGCCGCATTGTGCGCACGCCAGGGTGTTGAACAGGGAGTGCGAGGGAGTGGTGTACCTGCTGTGGGGCGAGTACGCGCAGAAGAAGGGCCGCCTCGTCGACGAGTCCCGCCACCGCGTGCTCCGCGGGCCGCACCCGTCCCCTCTGGTACGTACCAGCCAGCACGACCCTTGCCCTGTGGCGGCACAGACACAGGCACTCCACGGGCGGATGGGCCTCGTCATCACCGGACACGAGCACTCACCCGGTGGCTCGTCCTGCAGGCTCGCGGGTTCGAGGGCTGCAACCACTTCGTTCAGTGCAATGAGCTTCTGCGCCAGCTGGGCAAGACTCCCATCGACTGGTCCCTGTCGCCCTGATCACCAGCCGACCTCTCGAGCGAGAGAGCTCTGCGGGACCCCAACAACCACGGCAACCACGGCAACCACGGCAAGGAGAACAATGTATCTCTTCTTGTGTTAATACTACTTATTTACAACAAGCGAAGCAGGCAGGCTCGTCATTCCGACGCCACGAAGCCCCACACCTCCACGGAGAGTACGCTGAACTCCTCCCTGTGCGCACACAGCGTGAGGGGCAAGATGGTGCTGTGTGTGTTGTGTGTGTTGTGTGTGTTGTGTGTGTTGTGTGTGTGTGTGTGTGTGTGTTGTGTAGGAGGCACACGCACGTGGAAGCCAGCGGGGCGTTAGCAAAGGTGTCGCACGTCTGGGAGCTGCCCCCGCTGAAGTCGTCGTTGAGCCACAAGCCCATCGTCCCGCTTCCTCTGCGCAGTTCAACGACCCACCGTTGGTGATCAGTTCGAGTCAAACAACAACAATACAAATAATGCCGGTACCCGCCCACGGAGAGGAAGTCCTCGCCCGAGAGCTGGACGAAGTTGTTGGCTCCCGTCCACAGATAGAATGCCTTCTTCGGGTAGAGCTGCGCATGGCACACACACGACACGACACACACGATTCCTTGTCAGCACATAGCATACAGCAATAGAACAGGCGGCTGTGTTCGTGTGGAGCACCAAGCTACAGCAACATGTACCATGTACAAAAATGAGTTTCCGGTGCCGTAGTACTTATCCGACACCTGCCACGACTCGCTGCAGAAGGCGCCGAATATCTGATTGATCCGTACGCGTAAGCGCACACAGATCCAATGGAGTGGGCATGGATGGTGGTGGGTGGGGCTGGTTACGTGGTGCATTGAATCTTCGACGATCATCACCGTCGGTCCCTTGTTGCGTGCGCGGGTGTAGAACGTGTTGAGTGACACGCCGTGCTTGTCGGAACTGCCCACCACCCACCCGGGTGACGAGAAAACAGATCAATCAGCCCCCAATCGATCGATCACCAATGTGCCACCAACCGGCCCAGAACCAAACCTGTAGACGAGCTTCCAGTCGCAGCTTCGCTCTCGAGCGGGCAGCATGTTTTGAATCTGCGATTTGAAGTGTGAGAAAAGAGTCGACGGTGAAAAAGGAAACAACAGCGATGGCCGGCCGTACCGCGCGGATGTCGTCGATGAGAAGAAGGGACGACGGCCCCTCGTGGAGTACGGGGTCAGCTGCCGAGCCGGCGGACTCGGCCGGCAGCATCATCGACCTGACGCCGATCGCAATCACACACACATACACACACACCACACACACACACACACACTTGACTGTCAACGGCCGATGATGGAGGGAGTGCGACGTGATCGATCGCGTGGGGGGGGGGGCTAGTACCGTCGTGGGAGGGAGGCGCCGGCCTTTTGCCGTCGGTTGTGCGAGAGGGCGTTCCCGGCCTTGTGCTTCTCCATGGCCGCGCTCAGCTTTTGCACCAGCGCTTGGCTCCTGTAAGTTGCAAAATGTATTCGCCACGTCAGCTCCGTTCTAACTCCACAAACTAACTAACTTTTGGGGCACCAAGTGGCCTGCACCAACCAGGACCTTCGGGGGGGGGTGAACTAATCGATCGATAGATGGAAAATAGTAAAAAGATGCCCGTACTTGCCCGAGAAGTATTGGGCGACTGCATATTTGGGTCCTCTGCTCGTGGCATGGCCGGCACTCTCTGCCTCCCCACCGGGGTTCATCTCCCTCCGCCGCCAGTTGCAACTTTAAATTTGTCTTTTTTCCTCGCCATTTTCTCGATTTTCTCTGCAATAACAATAAAAAACGAAAACGATAGCGAAAGAGCGAGCGACTGCTGGGGCGGGGTACCGTTGACGCGACACCTGGAAGTAGAGGATCTTGCCGTTGACCACCTTGCCCTCGCTCTTCTTGTGGCCTTGCTTCACTTTCTGTTTCACGCACACCTGCACGTACGTATCCGACGACAGGCACTGCGCCGTGGCGAGCTCCGTCTCCTCTGCGTAGAGAATGAGCAAAAAGCTGACTGGGTGAGTAACAACAACAACAGCAACAGCGCCAGACGTCTTCGGTCCTGGCCGATCATGAAAGGTACCACAGCAGTCGTAGATGTCGCGGATGGAGATGTTGAGCTGATAGTGAAGAAACCTGGTTTGCGTGCAATGCTAAAGTTAACTAACTTTGTTCGGACGTCGCTCGCCAGAAAGAGAGCGGGAGGGTTGGCCGGAGAAGTAGCGCACCCTTTCTTTTGGACCGCGAGATCGCTCGGGGAGGGCTGAAAGATGAATCGCCACGACGTCACCACCAGGATGCCCAGCACCTACTCCCGCACCCGCCCACCCACCAGTAAGCAACCAAAAACGAAAGCGAATCGCGAATTGATACTCACTCGAGTGATGTAGCGCACGTACGTGATCGGTACCCTGGCAGTACTTGACGCGCTCGTCGCGGTAGACGTCGAGATTGGCCTGGGTGGCCTCCAGGAGGAGGCGATCCCGCTGGCTTGTGGCGTCCTTGCTGCTGCTGCGCTGCTGCTGCCGCTGCTGTAGCTCAACGACCGGCCCATCATGCTGCTCTGCTCACGTTTGGCGTGGAGGAGAAGCTCTGGTTCCACGATGTCTGGACGTTGGTTGTTTTTTTACAACGAGAACAACACGACACGCGCGTGTGCCACGAGCGAGTGAGGTCATAAGAGGATCATAGAAGAATATGATGATGATGGTGATGAAGAAGAAGGAAGGACTGACTTACCGGCGCTCTTGGAAAGGTCGAGGAGCGTGCCCCGCCCGAATGGGGCGCGTGAGGGAGCAGGCCTCCTCTCGTCCAGGCTGTTGCTCCTGGCCGCACGCACACACCCGCACGCACCGCACGCACAACAGACAGGTTAGGCGAGCGCTCGGCGGTATGGCGTCCGTCGATAAACAACAGCAACAGCGGCACACACCTGCGTTCGGAGCTATCGACCATGATGTCGGTGGCACCGTCGCCTTTGGTCTCGGTGTCTTCTGGCAAGTGGTGCGCCACATGCGCAACACGCACACAAGGGCGGTGGTTAGGCCAAGCGTCAGCGCAGCAGTTCCCCCCCCCCGTGTGTTGTCGTGGCGTGGTACCTCTCTGCTGCTGTGCTCGCTCGAGCGAGGGCGAAGCGCGCACGTACAGAATCTGGCCTGTTCGTACGTGGCTCCACTTGTTCAACCGGTTAATCTGCAACACCGACCAGCGCAGTAATATATTATTACCATCATTATCATTGGCAATATTGTCATACTTGCACAGCAGAAACAAGAAAATTAAAAAAAAATTGTAAATGTAAGTGTAGGATGCGAGGCGGTGCCTTCATAAGATCGGACAGTTCCATCTTGTGGCGCATGGCCACGGAGGCGAGGGTATCGCCATGGCTGAAGAAGTGGCTGCTGTACTGCCGTCGCTGGGCATGCAACCCCTCCGCCACAAGATTCTCGCTCTCCTGGCTCTTTGGTTCAGGTTCGTCCATGCTCGCACAGGTGGTGTTTTGTCAGATTGTTGTAGTGTTGCTTTTTCGCTCGCTTTATCCAGGTTCAAGGCTCGTTGTTTTGCTTTTGTTTGTCTTTTCTTTGTGTTTCTTTGTTTCTTTGTGCGACACTCTTTTTTTGTGCCGATCAAGTTCAGTGGAACAGAACGTGGTGCAAAATTGAGGTGCCAGTAGGCGGCCTACTGGCACTGTTGAAGGGCTTGAAAATTGGCCAGCGCGATGAGCGACATAGCGTGCGTCATGGCTGGGGAGGACCAGTACGGCCAGGGAGAGTTAGGGTCGTTGAAGCCTGCCCAACCAAGATCACCACATCATCATGAGCTGCTCCGCTGAAAGGCCGGTGTCGTCAGGTGGAGCAAGGGTGGTACCGGGGAATTCCTTTGGTGTGGAGTAGCCCCACCACTTGAGATCGATGAACTTCTCGTACGTCTTGAGCGGCGACACGCCCCGCATGGCGTACACGAGGTTGAACCCAGAGTCCATGTCCAGGTCGGTGGTCGTGAGCGGGTTGAGGTATGTGCCATTCCTTGCGCCATGGAACCAAGACGCACATCAGCAAATATATCTCTGAAATATAATATATATAATATATGTATATATAGAGAGAGAGTTCCATTGCCCCAGCAGTAGGGTTTGTACCGGTAGAACGAATACGTTCCAGGATAGGCAAATGGGAAGGTAGAATCGCCCTATTGAGTGGGTTTGTTAAATGAATAAATCGAAGAGTGTTTTCGTTTCAGTGGTAGGGGTGTGAGTACCTTTTCCGAGCCCGAGAAGAAGGCGTTGCCAAGCGAGAACTGCCCGGATAGCAGGTAGGTACGGAGGTATGTGACACCGCCGTACACCAGGGGCTGAACCGATGCTGGGATGTTCTTGGCCCATCGCAGTTTGCACGACGAATCGCTGCTGAGAGCCACACATATGGTGGGTGAGACGGGTGATATCGAGAATTCATCCATGGCGCATTGGGTGAATGCATACGTGGCGGGCACGCTCCACACATCGATGAGCGTGTTGATGGCCAGTGCGGTGCTGAACATGCGGTCCTCCCCTCGCTCCACACCGTTGTAGTCACCAAGAAAGTCATCCCTGAAAGAGATGATGTGTGCTGTGAGTGGACAGGTAA